AACTTAAGCCATACTTTCCAAGAATGTGACCACCCGTAGATATTTCTACACTTTTGGATAATAACCCTGCGCTGTGTCTTTAACCCGTGAGTCTGAGGCAGTCAGTCCCTCCCAGTGATACAGCGTCATGAATGGGAATAACGCCAGTGAGGATGACCCCTCCAACGTGCAGCTCATCACGTTCGGGAGGAGAGACCCCATGGCGTCCCTGGAGAGGAACCAGCGGGCTGGCAGCAGAGAGTACGACAATCCCTGGAGGCAGTCGCCCCTCTACAAGAACGGGATGAATGGTGAGTGGTGTGCTCTCTGGTAGTGCTGGGCGGTGCGGTACTGGGGAAATTGAGTTCCGGTACTTTACTGGAACTGGGTGTCGAGTACCTCCTGTACAGGTACTATAATTGGGACTGAGAATAGAGGATGTTAGAAGCTCTGCACGTTTAGTGTTTTGGACTGTTGCATTTTTTCCATCAGTCCACTGATACTGGAGGCCTGGTACCGGTACTGACACAGCCTAAGGTTGTACCGGGAGTTCTGGTACTGGATACTGGTACCTGTCCCGCCGTACTCTCTGGTCTCTGGTCCCTGATGTAGGGTGTGCACACTGCAAGGCGTAAGGGAAGTATCAATGATTGGATTTGCATGCCTTCGTGAAGGATTTTGGATATGAAGATTATGTCGAGAAACAAGAACGCCTGGTGGTTTCTTGTTTAAGTTGATGTTGAATGTTGGCATGGCTCACTTTCAACAAGGGGCATCATAAACATACCTCATTGTAGTTTTTGAGACTCACCAAGTGGTCATTTCAAATTTTGTAACAAAAGTCATAAAATGAAATAGCAGCATGTACTATTAATACATTTAAGGAGAGTTGGGTTTTTTTGCTGTGTTTGTGTGTGTGTGTGTGTGTGTGTGTGTGTGTGTGTGTGTGTGTGTGGGCAAGTTGATTTAGATTTTGAAATGTTGAGGGTATAATGATAATAATAATAATGCTGTGTCACATGGTGCAAGTTATAAAGGTTACTGTCATACTTATGATACTACTCTAGGACTTAGGCATTGTTTTATTTTGATATTCTGCTTATTGCCTCTTCCCTGACCAGCAAACGGACATCTGTAGTGTAACAATTGTGCATTTCACTGTCACATGCACGGGACCTGAGTTTGATTCCCGGGTGGGGAGAAATTTGTATCTAATATCTCTGGTTTTTCTGCTGGATGATGTTGTAACCCTCTCTGCCCTAGGGCTGGGTCGGAAAAGTTTGCCTGCCTATAAACACCTTCATTGAAAGAAAAAAAAATTGTGGGTGGTTGGCGGGTGCTCTGGTGTGGTTTGCTCCTTTTTCCTATCAAACATCTATCGACCTTATTGCTCCTTCTTTTTTGTGTACGTTACTCTCTTGTAACACATCTATTCTTCGGCACTTATATGAATTTATTGTGTTGCAAGTGCTGTAAAACTCTTACTAAAACTTTTTTTTTTTAAACTGAATTTTTTTTTCTAACTAATTTTTTTTTAAAGTGTTATGGTAAATCAGTCAAAGCATAAAGCACAACAAGCACCTCGCCAGGATGTGTTTCTCTGTGTTTTTCAGAGTCAATGATGTCATCATCAGAAAGAGAGCGCTTCTTGCCACCAGTCAAGTTAGACCCCGGCTGGGACAGTGTGGCCAACAACGTGGTGGACAAGTCCAGCAGTCTCTCACAGAGGATACAGGAGATGGAGAGGAATCCACCTGTGGACAGGTGACAAATGCTGTTGTGGAATCTGTTGGGATATTTTAAAAATATATTATTAGTATTATTGTTATTGTTATTACTATTACCGTTGTCATCATTATTGTTATTATTATTATTATTATTATAATTTATATTATTATTTTTTTAAAAATTTTATTTATTATTTCTTCCAATAAAAGGTACGGGGGAGGAGAGAGGGAGTTAGCTGAAATGGGTTAGAAAGGGTATTGTTGATAGGATAAGGGGAAATGCTGTTTATAAGTTAGAAAAGGCACCGGGGGGGTGGGGGTGTTGAGATGGGGTTTTTCGTGACAAGGTGAAGCAGAATGTTGTGAACGTCCAAGAGACAATTGTCGGGAAGGTTGTAAGATTATTGTTGCTTTCTGTAATACAATATTTCTGAGCACTGGGTATGATATACAAGATTTTATCTTGATTGTGACTCACGCATAAATTCTCTTTTCTTCCCAGGTTTCGTGTTGTCTACATTGTGATGATGGTACATGGCATTGCCATCCTTATTCCATGGAATATGTTCATTAATGCAAAGTCTGTAAGTATTTGCACAATTGCTGTATTTATCAAAATTCTTATTACTTTTTCTTACCCCCCATATTTTAAGGGTTGGGGTAAGACTTGTAGGCATATTTTCTAAACTCAATTTTTGGGGTAAAAAAATATGTTTCCAACTTTATCTGTTTTCGGGTATTACAATGTTTAAAGAATCAATAAAACTTGCTGTTTCATTTTTTTAAAGTAAAAAAAAATCACTTGTAGAGCTTTTTCTTGAGGGCACCATCCTCAAAAGTTGGTGCGTTTTCTTCAAATTATCCCATAATTTGACGGTGATGATAACCACGTGTCCCCATGTGGCTGTAATATGTTTTATTAGCATCATTGTGCTTCCAAGCCTGTCTTCTTTCAAACCCTAAAACAATCAAGAACTATGTGTCTGTAGCAGTTTAGTGTTGATGCAGGATACAGGACTCCTCCTCCTGTAAATTTTGGTTTGCCTTAGACAAAACTAGGCCCAGTTCCTAAAAGTAATACATGACGTCGTACTCGGTCACAGAATGCTGCAGTGAAGATACCTTTTTATGAACACTAAGCAGCTTGTCCTGCAAACAGCCCTGATTCAGTTTCTTTAAAATTCTGATCTCATCAGAAGATACTCAATGTGTCAGTAAGCTTGGCCCAACCCACCAAATGTAGCTCTCTATATATAGCAAAAGAGAGAGTGTTCATGAACTTGAGAGAAAAGGGTGTTTACATATCCAAGATGGCTACCAAAGAGACCATATCTGTTCTCATAAAAGTCAATAAGTTCACTCATGACTCAACTATGTAGTCTCTAATTTGCTGTTGTAGGGCGTAAAAATGGAAAGAAAGTACTGTACTTCTAAAGTTCCTCGTGCCATGTACATATCTCCTTAAGTGAAAGGTAACTGACAAGAGATGGATGTTGTCTGTACATTTAGAATAAAATTGTTCCTGGGCAAAGTTTCAAAGTTTCCTTTCTTTTTTTTTATTTCCTCTCCCTACACATACACACACACACACACACACACACGCACACAAACACACACGCACACAAACACACACACACTTGTGCACAAAACTAAATCAGATAGCTATGTTTCTGTAGCGCCTGTGTTTGTACAGTACCTATTTACATAGATAGGATGACTAGTTTCAGAACAAAACTACAAGTTGGGTACAATTATGAAATGTCCCCTGACATATCTTATCAAAATTCAGTCTCTTGTGGGTGTTCATTAGAGCATTTGTTCAACAAAATAAGAGAAAAGATTCCTCTATAACGTTCAAATTGAGTTTTAAAGACCAGTCAGATGTTGAAATAGACTTTTATGATAAAAATTTACACGTCATCGGCCAGCTGTTAACATGTACTGAGCCCCCAATTGAAATTTTTTTTTTTTAATTGCGGTTTCTAAATCTAAGGTGTTGGTTGCATTTGTTCATGAAACATTTAGTCAAAATTCCAAATTCTGAATGTTGAATAAAAGCAAGAAAAAATATAAAATGTATGTACAATTGTCAAAAGAATGGAACAGTTTTTTTCTCTGTCATGTAATGCTTTCTGGGCTTAGTACATTTTAACAGCTTGCCGACAACTTCCAGAGATCATAAACTGTACCTCACAGTGTTGAATCTTTGATATGTTGGAAGAAGCCAAGTGCTTTATCATTTAAATTGATACCACCCTGAAAACAGCGTCCGTCCAACCAGTCTCATTTACAACATGGTTGTGGACAAAAGACTCGCAACACATCTGCGGAGCTAACTTTTTAACTCAAAGCACTAATAGGGAATAGCTCTTTATCCAATAATTTTTGGCGGGGCTGTGAAAGACCTGTTGCATAGAATATGTTTTCTAAGTTTTTAATGAGTTTTATCTACTTTTTTTTCATACGTTTGGTCTGAATATTTGCATTATGCCAGTCTGAACATCCAAGTTGGTCAAAGCATGGGTTTCTCCTTCAAAGGCAACTTTTGGGTTCATGTTTTTTTTTAATTGTTTATTTATTTCTGTTTACAGTATTTTGAAAACTACAAGCTTGACCAGGGTAACCAGTCGTCAGAGGCCTTGCTGGACTACAAAACCAACTTCATGAGTTACATTGGTATGGCTTCACAGTACCCCAACTTCATTATGAACCTCGTCAACATTTTTGTGCAGTGTGGCGGGTAAGCTGTTGGGTCATATTGTTTTCCTTCAATATCTGTTAAAATTTGCCTCATGGCTAATATAATATCTTTTAGATAAATCTATGCACAGTCATCAAAGTTTACTTAAAGGATGTTCCCACCCCACCCCACCCTCACAAAGTGGGTTGTTGGGCAATGATTGTGCCCATGTTATGTCTCTTTTTAAAGTTACAACTCTTCTCGTGGTACTTAACACACTTGAATCCTTGTGCTGAGGTATGTGCTCACATTGATATATTACACTTAGTCTGGTGTATTATCCCAGCCTTTCTTTCATATTTTCTTTTCTTTCTTTACTCAATCCACCAAGTTGGGGTCGCTTCAAAATGATCTACTTGATTCAAAAGGTAGTTGGACATGAAACTCCTATTTTTTAGAAAGGGGGGAGGGGGCTTGCTATTTTAATTATAGTCCGCGCTTCGTCTGCGTTTTCGAACATCACTCTTATGTTTGTTAGGCACAACTAGCTACTTATCAGTCAATTTTTTTATTCTCGGCCAGGTCTTGCATCAGTGGTTTTTCCTTGGTGAATGTTCTTATATTCACGACAATCAGTATCAAGTCATTTTTTTGTTTTCACTCTCCGTTTAAGATCATCCTAGGGCTTCGTGCAACACAGTTTCAGTCTTTGACGCTTGTAGTTTTGTGCAGAGAGCATTCAAATTACTTTACTGCTCATGTCTTTGACACGTTTCATTCTGTTCCAACCTGCAGGAATACACTGGGCATCCGTGTATTGTCTGGCATCACCATCACAGTTGTTATGTTCATTGTGACAGTTGTGTTGGCCATGATTGATACTTCAGGATGTAAGTGATTTATTTCAATTAGTTTATAAGTAAGATAATAAAAAAATGCTTTGAGAATGGATTGATATGCTTCCTCTATTAATACATTATTTCATTTTCTACTGCATTTGATCTTTTTCTAAGGCCTAGAAAAAGAATTTGCTGTATTTACCCTTCTTGTCAATGTTGGATTTAATACCTATTATTTTGAGGAATATTTTTTTTTAACTGCCTGCTTTTTCAGAAAGTTTTGATATGTCATGCATGATAAGATTATTAAATGCAGACCGTTTCACTTTCACTCATCATTTATTGTTATTTTAAAAAGTGCTTTATGTGGCTTTTATCATCTGTAAATCCATCTAAATGTACCATTGATAAATAATTACGTCATTTTTTTTCTGTCTCAGTCTCTGTTCTGCTTCTGTGTCTGTCTGTTTATGTATCTGTCTGTCTGTCTGTCTGTGTGATGGAGTGGTTGGTGGGTGCTCTGGTGTGGTTTGCTCCTTCTTTCCTATCAAACATCAATCGTCCTTCTCTCCTCTCCTTCTTTTTTGTGTTTGTTACTCTCTTGTAACACATCTATTCTTCGGCACTTATATGGCCTTATTGTGTCTCTCTGTCTCTGTCTCTCACTCTCTATCTGTATCTCTCTCTCTGCTTCTGCTTTTCTCTCTGTCACTGTCTGTCTCTCACTCTCTCTCTGTCTCTCTGTCTCTCTCTCTCTCCCCTCTCTTCACATAAAAATGCATCACACACACACATGCACACTCACACACTTGCACACACGTACATACACACACACACACACACATACAAACACACACACATACACACGCTCACGCACAAAACACACACACACACACTTACAGACACACACCAACACACACATGCAGATGTCTTCAGAATGTCAGTGTTTTGTTTTCTATGTTTTGTCCTCAGGGCCAGAAACCTTCTTCTGGATAACCATGGCTACAGCTATTGTTATAAATGGTGAGATGTATTACCTGTTCCATTGTTCAGAAAAAAAGAAATACTGGTGAGGACAAGATTTATAGATTTGGGAACAAGAATTAAATGTCATTTTAGTATTTCATGTGTTTTTGTTAACTTTAAAGTTGTGGGATGTTTGTTTCCAACCTCAACACAATATCCACTAACCATTGCCCCAGCACATAACCCTGCACAATATTTTAATGATTCATGCTTTGTGTTTTCATTACTCCCATTAGAGATGCTTTGAAAAAAGAGCAACTAAATGGTTTTGGTTGGTATTCAACTGATATTTTACCATCTGTCAGGATAAAAGAGGTGTATTTTTTATCACTGTTTTTTCCACTTTGTTTCAGGAGCATTAACATTAAATAAAAGAGCTTATCTATCTACCGACCTCCCTGTTTGCTCTTTGTGAAGATTCAGATGTTGACAGCTTTAATGTGATATATCATGTTGGATTTTGACCCTGTCACTCGTTTATTGTCTTTTTCTTGTAAAGTTTTATTATATTTCTACTTCTTTTTATGTCCCTGAACAGCTGCTGTTGGGATCTACCAAAACAGCATGTATGGTTTAGCTGCCGTTCTGCCCATGAAATACACAAATGCTGTAATTTTTGGGAATGTGAGTGACACTCTGTAGTAACAGTGAATTCATTATATATTGTATTTGGCCATCTGTCAGCAGAGCTTTTGTTAAACTGTGGAAGTTCCTTTATCTAGTAAATAATGTTTGTGATGCCCGTTAACTTAATGCATGCCTATGTGTAGGGATATTTTTTAAGTGCAGAGTGAACTCCTCTGTGTTGACTGAAAGTTACCCATTGCAAGACAAGTGCATTGGCTTTAGGTTTAAAGGTCATAATTCATACATTGTGGCTTACTGATTAGTTAGTGAGTTATTACTAGATACTTCATTTCTCGCAGTTTTTAGATGTTTCTTTGCTTGAAGATGCCATAAGCATTAAATGGTAAGGCTTGATAAAACATGCTCTATGACAAAATTTATACAATGTAGGTCCAACAGATGTGACATAGGTTATTATTCATGTTGGTTTTTTTTGCTGTCCCTCTATATTTTCCATAATGAAAACTTATCAATGTCAGATTGAACAGTTTGAAACATATATGACGCATTGTGACACATCAAGGCGGAAGGTACACTTTCTGAAACTGAGTCATCAGTGAAAATAGGATGATCAGTCAAATTTTTCAAAGTGTATCTTCAGTACCATTATATTGTGACCTGTCACATCTTTGTCTTGATTATTTTATATGCCCATAGAGAACCTACAATTTAGGATTGCCATTTGAAGATATTTAAAAATGTTTAGTGTTTCTCATGACATTTTGTTTTACGTTTAGAAAAGTTCACTGGATAGCACCAGCATGCTCGCCCTGTGTGCACTGTCTGTGTATCTTCTTTTACGGGATAAACTTTCTTAAACTTTTTTGAAAGACATTTCCTTTGTACCCAGTATCTTAAGACTGCTTATTTCTTATACTTTGAGTTACATTTTTATTTTGACTGTTTTATTACGAAATCACAAAGCCTTTTATTTGTGTTCCACTTCTTTAAAATTGTATAAGACACATGAAATATTCACCACAGTGGCAGTACCTCATTTAATTGATAGAATTATTGATCCTCATTTCTGACTCTTCAACTCATGCTCAGTGTGTATGAAGCAGATGTTTATTTAGTCATACATATAGCTTAAAGCCATTTAGGAAAAATTTGACGTTAACTTGTTTGTTCCTTCAAGATAAAAAAGGAGGCAGTTGTCTGTGTTAGATCACTGTCATGTTTGTCTTTAGATTTGTTTACCTTTGATTTCACTTTGGTGCTATATGAAGGTAAAAAAATTGTGATCACTAAGTTGTTGAAGTATTTAAGAGGCAGTTGATATCCCATTTGTTGTAGTTAAATCATACAGTATTACTTTGTTTAAATCTGAACTGCTTAGGACTGGCCAAATGTGCTGGTCTGGACTGTTCCTGCTGTGAAAGTCAGGTTGTTAGGTCCGTTCATTTGAATTGGAGGAAGTAAGTTTGGAAATGAGGAGAAAGAGAGATACAGATGTTAGCTTAGATTAGTAACCTATAAGTGTGCTCTGTGGGGTTGAGTTCAGGACGCTTTTTGTTGAAAAGGGGGAATGGTTCATGCATTTTAGTGCACATTTATCAAGTTTTTTGCTCAAGGGGGATTGACTTTGTTTCAGAAGGGGTCAATGCCAAGCTTTTCAGTCCCAAATAATATAGATTTGGCAAAAGTTCTGGGTTTTTTTCAAAATTACATAGGGTGTTCTGCCCAGTCAGATATATGTTAGTTTACTTCTCTTGAAAGATATTACTTTATGTAAATGTTCGTCATTCCTCTGCAAATCGTTTCTCATGAGTTGAGTATTGGATTTTTTTCCAGAATATTTCAGGGACTTTGGTCGCCATCACCAACATTATTGTGTTAGTTTGTAAGTATACTCACTCTTGTGTACATGTAGTGTCAATCTGATTGATAGTTGTATAAGCAGAGGTGTGCGTGTGTTGGGGGGGGGGGGTTAGAATTTTTAACCAATTTTGGCCAAATGCTACTGTTTTGTTCTCCTTTTCTGAGGGGGGGGGGGGTGCTTTTAAAAAATGTAGATGGTTTGTGGTGTAATTGTCATTACCCTGTAATTATAATGTGTTGGCTTTAAAGTCTACAAATATTCAAATATTAACCTTTTCTTGGTACACATACAACTTTTCATTGATAAAATTACTCAACTTAATGTTTTACTGGAATACACTAGGCTACTGATAGTCAATTCTGTCAGATGTATATCTGTATCCTGGAACATTGCTCATTGAAGTCAAGTTTTATTTTTTAGTCTTAAGTGCAGGCACTTCTGTCAATGTAGATTAAAAGCTGTGGGAATGGGGAGATTTCATGTATTAACTTTGTTAAACTTTTTGTGTTTGAGAGTCAAATAGACACCCATTGACACAGTAATGGTCTTTTATCAGTGTGAAAAAGCAACTGCCAGAAATAAATGAAGGAATTATAAAGAAGAAGGGCCAGTCTGTAATGCCCATAAGTAAACCTCTCGTATGATATGAATAGCACTCTGTGAGACAGAGATTTGATGTGTAGAGTATCATTATTGGCTGAAACAAGGCTTGCCCATTAAATTGAAGCTGACCAACACTGTCCTTTGCTGCTCTGAAGAATTATTGAAATACTTGTTTGTTTACCTGTCATAATTCATACTTAAAAAATTGACGCTCATATGACCTTATGCAGTTGCGAGCGCCGCAAAACCCTCTACTATAAAAAGATATACTTCAAATAGGAATTGTAAACTTTTAGTGCAACCACCTTTTCAAATTTCATACTGTTGATGGTTTTTCTTTCCTTCTTTTTTCGTAATTTCTTTTCATTTCAGCATTGAAAGAAATTGAGCAGATGTAATGAAATATACTTACTTTTTGTCTTAATTTTTTCTGTTGTATCTGTCTTTTGAATGTGTATGTTGCACTTTAGTTTATTTTGTGGCAAGATTTTAAGAAATATACTCTTTTGTCTTGTTCCAGTGGCTCCAAGTAAACGCACATCAGCAATCTACTATTTTGTGGTGGCTATTGTCATACTGATGGTTGCATTTGATGCGTACTTTGTGACTGCCCATTCGGTAAGTCTGTGAGACAAACACAGAATATGTTAACTTTTCAATACCATCTCCGTATTGTTCCTTTTCTTTGGCATGTTAGAATAATACTGTCATGACTGTAACTACATAGGACACTAGAATGAATGGCCTGAGAGGAAAAGAGAAAGACTGACTCTTGTTTCTCAAGTTTTTCTGCTTTTAATGTGTATTTAATAGCTATACCATGCCTTTGGATTATCACTGCTATTTTCATGTGTGTTTGTCAGCATGGATTTAGAAAGGTAGAGAAGGGGTGAGATTTAAAATATTCTGTAAGCCAAGGAAGTATTGTATTTTCATCTACAATAGAATTTCTTCGTGGGGATTGTTTTATCAATATTGCCTTGTTTTGTTTTTCAGCACTGTGCGTCTGATACAGTGAGCTGAGGTTCTCTGTATTTTTACATTTCTCTTGGGAATTTTCTGTTCTAATTGCAGAGGTTTTATCGTCACTATGTTAAACTGGCAGAACTCAAAGATAAAGAATCTATGGAAAAGGCAGGCGGACACAGTAACACCCCCTTCTATGTGATCCTGTTCCGAAGCTTTGGCAGGGTTTTTAAAAAGGTTTGTTGTTCATTATACCGTATTTATGTCTTGGAATATTTCAATAGATAACAGGATTTCCGTGCATAGCCTTGGTAGAACCATCTTCGATGAGAAAAGACAAGCAAACTTGGAGACCCTTATACCTGTTGTGCACTTTAAAGCCTCCTGAGCAGTTGAAAGCGGAAGAAAAGCAAGCCTGCCCAGGCTTGCTGCTAAGGCAAAATTGGAAGTGCCCCTATTGCTTGTCAGAAATTCTCATCGAAAAGCTTTAAAAACATGGTCAGTGTCAAGATTTGCTGTACCTTTAAACAAATCATGCTGCTGCCTTAACTGCTGTAAATACTTTTGTCTGTTTGGAAAAAACCTCCACTGATATAGTCCAGTGAAAGTAACCAGTATACGTATAATTCATCTTTAGTGTCTTGTACCCTGAAAACTGATGAGTAAGACAGGTTTCCAGGATCAAGACACAAGGCAAGCAGTCAATGTTTGTTCTTATAACCACCGGAGTTTTTAAAGGACCCCATGCTTAGTTGTCCGAACGTTCTGACTTGTGTTGTTTTTTTGTTGTCCAAATCTAAACAAGGAAGTAATGAAAGAAGCCCAGGTGCGTGGCTCACAAATGAGAACAAATAGGAAGTGACAAATGCGGTTTCTGTGAGACTAGCTTCAACATTAGGGCTTTTAGCACCTTGCTCTCACTGGAAAGATAGAAGGCAAATTAGGCAAGAGCAGACCCAGTGAAACTTTTTTGGTAAACTGAACAGATGGTGACGCGGAAATGCCCGAATAGTATGGGATTTTAGAGAGTAAATGAAGGGAGAGCCCTGGCTGATATCTGTTTCAGATATGACACTTTATAATGAGGATCAAGTCTGCAGAGGCCCACAATGTAGGTCCCTGTCATTATTGTCATGGTATCTGGAAAGACCTCCAGTATAAGAATTTGTCAGGATGGGAGAACATGGTTAAATATTTTGTGTTCTACTTTGTAGTCCTTTCTTTAGTAATTAAATTGTTGTCCTTTCCAGTCCTATGAGATTTAGCGAGGTTTTGATCATAATAATATGGGAGTTTTTGGCCACAGAAAAAAAGTATTTGTCTTGATACAATTATTTCAATGTAATTAACTTTGATTCCTCAATGCATTTCAATTCACTGAATTTCATGATAACGCTATGTTTTCCTTCTTTGTTTTTTATTTCAGTTACGTCTTTTAAATATTTTGAATGTGACATTTCAGTGACATTTTGCTTATTATTTCAATAATTTTTTTCCCCCAGATTTATCACTTAATGTTTGGAGTGTGGTTCGTTTTTTTCATCACCCTAGCCTTGTTTCCAGCCGTGATGAGTGATGTAAAGCCACTGAATATTGACATGGATGGTAAGCTTCCGCAGTAGAATTGTCACATACCCCAGTTACTCATACTTTATGCATTTTTGTTTTATTTTCTTGAAAATAAGTAAGTTTGTCAGAAGATATAGTTTTTCTGAAATGCCTCTGTTCCAATTTTTATGTAGCATGCCATTTTTAAAGAACATTTAAACAAAATCATACTTTTTTAAAGAATGTTACTTAAAAACAGTAGATTTACATAGTTACTATTGTTTGTTTCAGGTGAATACTGGTCAGCCATTTTTTGTTTCCTCTGCTTTAACTTCTTTGCCACAATTGGAAACCTTACCACGGAGTTCATCAAATGGGTATGTGTCACTGATGGATAAGCCATGGCCAACACTATGAAAATGTCTATGTTTTATTTTTTTTAATTTATAAAAGATATTTCTAGCTTGTGTTTCTTTTCCGAGTAAGTAAGAGTTGCCACACACTGATAGCGGAAAATTGTGGAGAGAGTAAATATTGGATAACTGTACCGAATTCCTGAGCTTATTTTTGTACAAAGAATAGTTGATGGAATGTGGATAGAATGAGAAATATGAAGTGAAGAGTTGTGCCAGAGAAAAAGATGTACAATAATAGGATTGAAGGATGGTTATTTATGAAGAGTGCAATTGTGGTTTTTAACCCATGGAAAAGATTTTAAAAGTAGTTCCCATTAGTAAATGTGTTATAGAATTGCAATTTTAGAAAAATTTACACGGCATGAGAAAGGAAAGCTTGTAATAAAATACTGGATGTCTTACTCTGAGCAGCCATAGGTTTCCCACACCAATGTGCCTTGAGGGGGTGGTTGCAATTTTGTTTATTGCTTTAAGAAGTTTTTCATTTGTAATTTCAGCTTGTTTTTAAAAAAATTACCTTTAAAACACTTGATTTGTAAAAGTATAAAGAAAGTTCTGTACACATCAAACTTTCATATGGATGTGATTTCTTTCAGCCAAATGCCCGCTGGGTGAATGTGCTGATCATTCTGCGAGTGGTTTTTGTGCCTCTGATGATCCTGGGCAACTTCCGACCTGAGCTTCGTACAGTGCCGGTGTATATCACCCATGATGCTGTGTTCATTGCCTCTGGTTTTCTCTCCTCCCTCCCCAGCGGCTATTGCAGCAGTTTGGTCATGATGTACGCTCCCAAGTAAGTAGTCTAAATGTCTGTTGCCACTGTGCTAATAAGAATTATCAAATCTTTATAGGTGAGCTGGAAAGTGTTGTTTGTAGGCCATCCTTTTTTTTAGTTACCTGGGATTGGGGGGGGTTGTCTGTGAGTCTAACTTTCTTCTGAGGACTAAAAGTCTGTTGTTTTGTCCATATAATATATTTCACTGAGATAAACCAGATGGGAACATAATATCAAGCTCACTGGTCCAGTCTTCTCATAGTTTTTTGCACCCATACACTTTGCTACCGCTCTGAGGTATACCTGTTGCCAACT